TTATATTCATTGGGAACAGAGTACAAAACATGGAAGAAGAATGCGCCCTTCCTCTATGATATGATCCTGAGCACAGCATTAGAATGGCCAACTCTCACAACCCAGTGGCTTCCAGATAAGCAAGAGTACGCCCCGAACGCCTACTCGTCCAATCTTCAACCTAACCAAGTCTATTGTTAGAGTCCCAGACAAGCCCTACTCAACCCACCGTCTCCTCATTGGCACACATACCACTGGTGACGCGCAGAATTACCTTCAGATTGCCCAAGTGCAACTCCCAAACCCTAATGCCCCAAACCCGGAAGACTATGACGAAGAGAAAGGAGAGATTGGAGGCTATGGCGGGGGTTCAAAGAAGGCACAAATGGAAATCAAGTTCAATATTGTGCAAAAGATCGATCACAAGGGAGAGGTCAATAAGGCCCGGTATCAGCCACAGAACCCAAATATCATTGCGACAATGTGCACGGATGGTCGGGTGATGATCTGGGATCGGTCCAAGCATCCCAGCTTGCCAACTGGCACAGTGAACCCTCAAATGGAGCTCCTAGGCCATGAAGCTGAAGGCTTTGGACTTAGCTGGAACCCTCATGTGGCAGGTCACCTCGCAACGGGCAGTGAGGATAAGACTGTTCGACTTTGGTAAGCGCGCGCAACATGAAAACGAGATTTGGCGTGACTAGCAGCTAATGAAGCTTACTACAGGGACATCACTACATACACCAAGGGAAATAAGGCAGTCCGACCGAGTCGCACTTTCACGCACCACTCCTCGATCGTCAACGACGTTCAACACCATCCCCTCCACTCCTCTCTCATCGGAACCGTCTCCGATGACATCACGCTTCAAATCCTTGATACCCGCCAAGATGATTCTACTCGTGCGGCTGCTTCAGCTGAAGGTCAGCACCGCGATGCCATCAACTCCATTTCCTTCAACCCGGCTTCCGAGACAATTCTGGCCACGGGTTCCGCCGACAAGACCATCGGTATTTGGGATCTCCGTAATCTGAAGTCGAAGCTCCACTCCCTGGAGGGCCACACCGATTCCGTGCAATCTATCTCTTGGCATCCATTTGAGGAGTCGGTCCTGGCCAGTTCCAGTTATGACCGCAAGATTATGTTCTGGGACCTCAGCCGGGCAGGCGAGGAGCAAACCCCCGAGGATGCTCAAGATGGGCCACCAGAGCTGTAAGTGACCGCAATTTGTTTTCCCTCGTATATTGCGTTTGAATTGTTTGCTGACCTTACTCCTTAGTCTGTTTATGCACGGTGGACACACGAACCGTATCTCAGACTTTAGCTGGAACCTAAGCGACCCTTGGGTTCTCTGTTCTGCTGCTGAGGACAATCTACTGCAGGTATGGAAGGTAGCAGATGCAATTGTGGGCAAGGATCTGGAGGATGTCCCAACAGAAGAAATTGAGGCATGATGTTAGTTCTACCGGAATTGCAGTCGTCCAGTCATTTTCCATATGGGTGCTTCTTTGGTATAGGTGAATTAAGACCATAGTGAGTAATCATTAAAAACATCATTTTGTTGAAAATCTACATAGACATAACCACGGCCCTTGCTAGTGGCATGGTTATCATATTGTCCGCTAGCCCTAACATCTCTAAGTTGGTATATAGAGGGGCATATCGTTACCCATACCTTGTCACTCGCATAGCTACATGATATATTCACCAAGTTGCATAGCACCTATAATTCTCGTAGACTTTAGGACCGCTTAGCGATGTTAATCGTTATCTCTTTCGCGAGTATATTATTAGTTTCTCTATTTCAATAAGTTTCACTGCCGTACTTAGGTAGAGAAGTCTATCCCCGCACGTTTCACTACATAAAGCTAACGTGAGAGTTATCTGACAAAGAACAAAGGATATATTTTGTACCACGCTCTAATATACTCCAGGAGACATTTAGTAGTATAATATAGTACACTATAGTACACTATAGCTCTGGAGATCTATGCATGTATGCATGTACTAATCGGCCCGTGACTCCGTTATCTGCCCGCGGGGAGCATGTCATCATTCCGGTGTGATTTGATTGGTGCTCATTGGTGGGGGATGAGGGGGACAGAAGAAAGTTAGTGTCGTTTGCTGAAAAAAAAAAAGTGAGACTTTACATGTTCACTTCATTTATTATTATATATATCATCTTGGAAAGGTGACATATTCTAATTTATATCAAATTCATTTTTGAAATATCTGCATCATGGGTTCCGGTTCCCCTACAGGCCCCAGGGCCTCAGCCATTCCGTCACACATGCTGAACGGTAGCTCCCCGCTGCAACGTTCAACGGGCAGCCGTGATTCTCGTGAGCGTGAGAGTCTGAATACATCCATTCGTTCCTCTTTTGAGCCCCGAATTCCTGTTGAATTTGAATCTCCTGAGACCGAGACCGAGACAAAGACCGAGACCAAGGCCGAAACTGAGACTGGAGCCGCCCCCACCCAGGCCGTCTCCAGTGTTGATGTGCCAATCCGCAGTGTGGCGCCAGTGCGGTATGTATACAGGGATTTCAATATTGATGAACACAGTAATCTAGATTTCATTGCTAACCTCTGCGATGTAGTCCTACATTGAATGACCCTCCCCGCGATCCCCGGGATGAGGCCGCCCCGTTGACGCCATCAAACACCGTCAGCCGACCTGCTAGCCCCTACACATTGAACCCACCCATCGACTTTGACGGTCTCAGCTGGCCTTGTTAGTGATACTAGCCCCTTCGGTGGACACCAAGATATTGTAATAATCCTCTAACCACTCTCACCTAGGCCCCGGAACCAGACAGCGGAAGGAGTCGACCGCGGAGGAGACCGAGCAACGACTTGAGAAGATGTCCGGAGCTATCCGCACAATCCTGGAATGTATCGGCGAGGACCCGGAAAGAGAAGGACTTCGTGAGACCCCCATGCGATATGCCAAGGCCATGCTCTATTTCACCAAGGGCTACGAGGAGAATGTTCGGGACTTGGTCAACAACGCTGTTTTCCACGAGGACCACGATGAGTTGGTCATTGTCAAGGACATCGATGTCTTCTCGATGTGTGAACACCACATGGTACCATTCACCGGAAAGGTAAGAATTACTGCACATATCGATACCGTGGTGGCAACCATTCTAACCACTCACAGATGCATATCGGATACATTCCTGACCGCCGTGTTCTTGGTTTGTCAAAGCTGGCTCGCCTGGCAGAGATGTTCTCTCGCAGACTCCAGGTCCAGGAGCGTCTTACCAAGCAAGTTGCGTTAGCGATTTCCGAGGTCCTCCAGCCTCGCGGTGTCGGTGTCGTTATGGAATCTTCCCACCTTTGCATGGTTATGCGCGGTGTTCAGAAGGTCAGCAGCACCACCACTACCAGCTGTATGCTTGGATGCATGCGTTCCAGCGCCAAGACTCGCGAAGAGTTCTTGACTCTGTTGAACCGGAGATAATGACCCATCGCCCCAACGCGCAACCTAAACACAGGTTGTTGATTTTCGGATTATTCGGAGTTTTGGTGACCTTTCAACAGGTTTTGGGTGGTTTGCTTTTTACTTTACATGTTAAGCGTGGATTGGTGTTTCTCTTGTCTTCTCTCGTCTCGGTTCTCCTGCAAATACTCAGGCAAATTTTTGCCCTGGTGTCTTGTCATGTTCCCTTGCCCATGAAGCTCACTCTCTACATATAGAGCTGATGGCTTTGCGGGAAATGGCAAATATCCCCTTCCTCGACCCGTGATGGACTCGAGGGGGAAAAAAATAGCCCCTCCCCCCTCATTCCCTATCCCCTATCATACTAACACAACCGCACAAGAGGCCTTTGCTCTACGGTCTATTGAGATCTTACTCGATAGCACTAGCAAGGCCGTTTCAACACTTGATCTCATGCCGCTTACGAGCATCCTAGTAGGAATTCCGGGAGCTTTCCACTTAGATACGATGTATGTAATAGAACCAATGTACAATTTCCTTCGGATTTCTTGTTTCCTCGTCTAGAACATAAAAGCGAAGCTTTGGCAGTGGTGTCTCGACGCTCAGCATAGACAAATATCGAGTTGGAGGCCTGTAGCCGAGTTATATAGTGATATCTAGTCTGTCTCGGGGCCTTTAGAAGTCTATACAAGTCTTCCCGGGTTTGACGAGGAGAAACTGAGTGATGCCCGCTACCTGCGTAGGTGTGGATGTAAAGATAGGTCATCCTGATCCCTAAGAGTTTCATCCGCTTGAAGATAGATAGGTATCGCCAGAGGCTTTCAAACTGCTCACAATATCAAGGACCTCATCAGCGGTGAATTATAACCACTCTATTGACGATTCATCGTTGCATGTGACGATGGTCTCGTATACATACACACACCTGACTTGTTTTTTCCCTTCTCTTAAATTCATCCTCCAACAAACTCTTTCTTCCTGTCTCATCTCTCCTCTACCACTCAGCTCTCAATCCAACTCTCTATCCCACGCTTAACCTCTCTATCATTCAGAAACTTCCTCTAGTCATCTTCAGTGCTTCCTGCAATCTATTGGTTGCCTCTGCCTGTGCTTCTTGTGCTTTCTGTGGTGCATTTGACAAGCGTGTCGCATCCTCCAGTCACGCCCACGTTCAAGCTTAGCTCTCGTTGTCTCTTACCACAACACACCACACGCAACTCCAAAGCCACTCAAGAGTGGCATCAGTGTTATCTATCTCTGTAAGTCTCGTGCGAGTTGATCCTGGTTCCTTTGTGTCTGCTCTATATAATACCAACCTCCTATGCATACCACGGATTTCCTTTGAAGGAAATATGTTGTGATATCCCTTCTGATCTGATTGATCTTTTCATAAGACGTGACACTAACCTCTTTGCTCGACAAAGGGTTCTCACACTCAAACCTGTCGAATACACTGCACATGAAGGGTTCACCCTGACAATATTGAGCACTGCAAGTATGTTGAATGTGTCGTATCAAATCAAGCATGACACTTACTTGGATGTAATTAAAGGAACCAAGAATACATTTTGACACAATGGCGGACCGCACTCGACGTTCAGCCGTCCATGACTCCTCGGATCTCTCTTCTGACGACGATACCCCCGGCTTCGCCAACGAGTCTACCGGCACCAACAATGCTGCCGAGTCCAGATCCTCGTGGTTTCCCACTCCTGCAACCCTTGAAATTCTCCAGGCGCACCTGGCAGCTGACGCCGACTCTGACTCTTCCGAAGCTTCTGGTCCACGTGTGCACCCTGACTTCTTCGTCCACCTTGAGAGATTACGAAGGATCAATGAAACCAATCGAGTGAATGCCCGTAGAGAAGTTGAAGCCTGGTATGAGGCTGCTTTTGGGTCCAACCAGTCCCAGAATCAAGCTTCTCACATGGCCAACTCTCAAGACCACGATTCTGACATGCTCGACGAGTCCCAGAATGAAGCTTCTCGCATACTTGAAGAATCATATCGTGGAACTTCGCAATTTACCAACGAATTCAACCAACCTTCGTACCATCCCAGTGCCGCACATGGACTGCAGCCACCATCGATGGGCGCGCATGAGCAATATGAAACTCAAGGTTCCACTGCAGCCGGACCATTTGAGCCGATGCCGCATGTCCGGTTTGAGGCACCTGGCTTTATGGGCCCTGATCACCTCATGGGCCATTCTCCTCACCATAGGCCTCCTTCTCCTTATCCTGCGGTGGCTCAGGACCAATATTCAGCTGTTCCAATCCCCGAGGGAACTCCTCCAATGCCAGCACCTCAACCACAGCGGTATACCGATTGGGGAAACCCTTACAGATTTCCATTCGATCCGACTCCGTTCCCTGAGGGTGCCACCCCTTATGCCCCAGAGCGCATTATCCAAGCATGGCTCATCCGGCAGCAACTTATCGCTGGCGTTCAGCCTGATGATATCCAGCCCATCGCAGCCCCACGCGGAAGACGGCACCGAACACCTCCTTACATCGTGCTCAATGACAGTGGTGCCCATATCGTAAGGATTGAGCCTGCCACCTTTGAGGGTGCTATGCTTCCTTTACCAACCCTTCCTTGGCTGCCGCGGCGCGCAAATCCCAACCCACCTACTGCCCCTGTTTCGTCTGATACATCCGATGCTTCGGGTCTGTTCACTGCTCCAAACGTCGTGACTGCTTCAGACAACGTGGCTGCTCTAAACACTGTGATCACTCCAAGCTCAGCTAACTCTCTAAACTCGTCGGTCAACCCAAATCTATCAGCTGCCGCAAACCCGGCGAGTGTATCGCATTTGCCAGCTGCTGCAGCACTGATCACTGCTCTGACACCGCCGGCTCCTCTAACCCTCCCGGATGATCTAGACTCAGCTAATACTTTGAGCCCGTCGGGTCCCTCAAACCAGCCGGTTGCTTCGCATCTGCCAGCTGCTGCGACCATACTGGATGCGCTAACCCCCCCGACTGCTCCAGCCTTGCCAGAATCCACTGTTGTTTCGGACCCAACTACTGTGCCAGAACATAGTTCAGAAGATTCGAGTCAACATGTTGCGGAAAGTCAGAACCCGGATCCGCGTATGGTGGCCTTCTTCCAACCTCTTAGGTTACATGAGCCTGCTAATTCACTCTCAGCTTCTGTGCCAGATTTGCATCCAGAAAGACAGAGCACATCTCAGTCTAGCCTTAACGAGAACAGCGAAGATCCCGTCGTTGCCCTGCAGCCACAGCCGCAAGCCATCGCGCCCTTGAATGTGCAAAACAGTACCGACGTTAATTCCATGAGTTCTCAAGAAGTCCATGGGCTTGGGCTGTCTTTTGCCCATTCACAAGATCAATATTCTTCAGCTGCCTCTCCTTTGTCGAACGAAGAGGCAGAGACCGGTAACGTTCCTCCTCCCCAGGCCCTCGGTGGCAATGGAGTTGTGCATCACGCAGTCACCTTTTCGGAGCCTGAGGACCCTGAGGACCCTGACGAGCCCGCGGCACCTCGTCTCCGTCGTTTTGCCATCGACGGAACGGATGAATCACTCGGGGTGGGACGGTTGTCTGGGGAGGCTAAAGCTGTCGGTGATCAATCCTCCTTGGGAGGGTTGATTTAAGAATACTTCAGCGCCTGTTTGAGTAGCTTTGAGGGAACCTTGCTTGACGCACAAGCATAAAGTGATTGGGGGGTGATCTTAACGCAGTTGTGAGAGTAGGGAGGTAGTCAATCCTTGAAAAAGATGGAGTTTATTGTAGAGTATTACTGAATAAACTTGTATGAGTACCAGTTGTTTGATTTCCTAAATTTACTGCTGTATAGCGCGTAGAAACGTATTCGTTTTGTGCCTACGTACTAATAGGTGCTGGCTCCGTTGTGTTAGATATAGCGTCTCAGATTCTGATCTGGTCACTTATGTAGTAAATATTCGTCGCCTGACCAATGTACTCACGACAAGTCACTGATGCTTATACCCGTCGCCGGCGTTTCCTTATCTATGGAGCACTAAGTGGAGTGCTTCGCTTCATGAGCTCAGACCCGATGACATAGGGGATGAGTCGTGTGTCAAAGGGTGTAGTGTCTGTAGAATATGATTGGGAGCTAACTAGCAGCTGGGGCACTCATGAATTGTTACCAGGGTAGTAGAATACATATGTAAGTAGAGTCTCCTAAAAGATGTGGTTGCGGAGTGCTGGACAGCGTTGATTGATGCACAAAAGTACATAAACAATATGACATCACGTGACCTACATGTGACCCCACGCCCAGTTCCGGCACAACTTCGACCTGCCCATGACATCAACCTATCTCTTTGCTTTCTTAGTTCCTCGCCGATTCGGCATTCCGTGTGCCATTCTGATGATACTGCGATCATATCGTTTGTTGAATCTAACTCTCTGGTTTTCTGGGAAATGGTCCTTATTTGTCGGGTGAGAATGGCCGGGGTTTTGTGTTCCAGCACATCCCGCTCAATCTCGGGCTGACTTTCAGGCCACGGCCCTGAGTTCCCTGCAACCACATCCACATCACGATGTTTTGCTTTCCCTTAGATTACAAACTTTCAATTTCTGGTCTTGGAATTGATCTCGCTATTTAACATGGGAGGCGGGGTTGGCTGAGTGCAGGGCCTAGTCTCTAGCATTTCGCCGACAAGCCGCACCTTTGGGGGCTTGCGCATTTTACTGGATTGTACTGGATTGGGGTGGAACCATCATTGATTTTAGGCTCTTGCCTTGACCGTCTCGTACATTGACCCCTCATTCGGTATGCTCCCCGCTATTGCCGCCAACCTTCTGTCTGGCCAACCAACCTGGACATCAGGATATCACCAACATGCATTCGTGCCTTTTGCGGCAGAACCATAAAGACACATGACTTGAAAATGTCGGCTTAAAACGATGTTGAAATTGGGATTTCCGCCCATGTTTCATATCTGTCCCGGTGGTATTTGTCCCCAGATAGTCAACCATCAGTCTATCTGTTGTAAATCACGGCCAAGCTTCATTCCAGCGCGCTCTTTTTATGGTGCTTGACCCGAACTTCGACAAATGATCAATCTACAACTTACAAGACATCAAAAAACTGACTGACAGGGTGTGATACAAAGCATCAAAGTTGCTTGCAACAAAGAATCACATCATGTCGAATCGGCCATCCGAATTGACCAACAGCTCCATGATCCTGGGAGAAAGAATGATAAGAGACTCCAGCCTTTGATTTTATGGTGTGACCTGATAATCCAACGGGGATTATCCTGTTCACAATGTTGCCTCGGGAATGTTGGCCCATCTGGCCTTGTGCAATACGTAGATAGTTTCATTCGTGGGACAAGCCAACACAGTCTCAATGTGGCTTTGCCAAAAACAGGCAACTGCTGTACAAGAGGGCAGGGCGAGCACAAAGGAGACAAAATGCTAGCAACCTGGCTAGCATGTCTGTTTCTCCAACACCTGGGCACCATCTGATCAGATTGTCATGTGCTGAGCAGACACAGACTCGACACATTCGGTATCCAAAAAGACGGAGGAACAAAGCAGAAGTACAGGTTGCACTTGTTTTCGACAGCTGCACGCCAACCTTCCAGCATCCAAGCGTCGAATCAAGTTGTAGAGCCGCAACGCGGATCAGTCAGCAATTCCGAGGTCTCCAACCTTGAGAAACCCACCTTCCACGGCCAAGTAGTGTTCATTTTTTACATGGAAGATTGAGTCGGTGTATTTGATAAATCTGAATTGGTGCGTATGCCCCATTCAATTTTCCCCTTGCTTATGTTCTTGTTGTTCACCAGCGCTTGACAGTGTGCACAGTTCGGAATCTGGAAGAACCATCGTTCCGGGTTCCCCAAACCCGAAAGACTTCCGCCTGCGATCGCAGCCACGGTTGGACGCCATCGCTCACTGCGCTTTCTCATCATTATCTCTAGTTCAAGGCTATTTTCCAGGACTGGCCTTGCTGACATTCTCTACTTTCTCTGATTGAACCAGATGCCGTTGGCGACGTTGATATGGCTGGGTCCCGAACGAGTCCGGTGTTGAGAGAACAGTGGAGTGCTGACCCAGATCGTGATCCCCGTGACAGGGAGAGACGGAGAGGTCGAGGGTCAGGCCGCGATCGAGGGAGAAATAGAGGTCGTGACCGAGGCCGTCCATATCGGCCCAATAACCGCAATTTCGATCGCCCGGGGCGGTCGCCACCACGCGCGTCCCGCTTTGGCCCTGACTCTTCTCACGACATAGGTGATTTCGCTCCGGATCGATCTCCTCCTCGAGGTTCTCCTCCGCCTCGAAACTTTCACAACAGCCGTCGACTAGATTCAACCCAACCTGTGTCATCAGCCGGTGACTGGAACACCCACACTTCCGGACCTTTTGACAGAGAAGCCCCCGGTCCTCGAAGAGACGAATCATCAACCGGACCTCCACAGAAACGGCAAAGGACTCGAAGCCCTTCACCGCGTGGCGGTCGTGGCCCTCTCCCTCCGCCGCGTCCAAATTACTCCGACAACTGGGATATCCGGGATCGAAGCCCTTCATTCAAGAAACGAGGTGGCCGCAACCAAGGCCGTGGTGCTCCGAGACGAAGATCACCGCGACGGGGCCGGGACCGCCGTGGAAAAGACCGTCGCCGTCCAGATATTCCACGTCCAGGAAGATCTAGATCACCGGTTCATGACCGAGGGTTTCATCCTTCGCCCGATCGACGGTCTCGTACCCCTGGGGATGACAATTATAGCGAGCACGGATCTCACTATCGTTCGAACTCACGGCACTCCGTACGATCTGCAACCTCGAAATACTCAACATCGTCTCGCAGGTCACGGCGTGATTCGGCGATGAACACAACTCGACCAATCCAGTCTGTTGTGGACGGTACTGCTCGGTCACCATCTCCACCGCGCCCGATTCCGAGTTTTGACTCTGATAACTTCGGTCCTCCTGGAGAACCCCCTAATCACGCGCGAGATGAGTTGTCAATGCATGCGATGCGTTCCGATGTGAAGAATCAGCCTCGCCGTCGGCCGTCTCGACCGCATCTTGATACCCGGACCTATGCAAACCCTCAAAACGCGGCATCGACAGGCTCATACCACGGTTCGCCGCAACCGCCCTCGCCTTACTCCACAGGGCGAGGAGGATGGTCTGGCCCACCTCCGTATTCTGGACCTGGGTGAGTTTTCTTTTGCTTTCACTTTACATATTACATTCCAGATTATACTAACACTCTCTAAGCCATACATCTCCTTACCGACATGATGACTATTCATCGCAAAATGGAAACTATTACCATAACCAAGGTCAATTCAACGGCCCGAACAATCATCATCCTCAATCTCCGTATGGCGGTCCTCCTCATCGAGGTGGCCACTCTGGTGGCGGCCATCGAGGAAACTTTTCAAATCAGGGTCCCGATCGGCGATTTTCTGGCTCTGGTCCTCATCCGTATCACAATGGACCCTCACACCGCGGCGCGAGGGGGCATTTCAACAACCTGCAATGGACTGCATCCGGATCACGAGGCCGTGGGGGACAACATAGCCCTCACCAGACACACAGCCATGGGTCACAAACCCCCAACCGCCCACAATCCCACATTGACCCGCAATCCCCCCGAGCTGGCGAAAGTGATAATTATGGCCGGCCCCTTAATAGGGATGAAGAGGAGAACCAGACACAACCCCAACCCGCTGGTGGAAATCCCCAGTCCATGCCACCCCCGACCCACGAATCTAATGAAACGACGCCGGCAAACAAGGGAGGGAAATTTAGCTTTGCTTTCAAGTCAAAGGCCGCACCTTCCCCTGCCCCAAAACCAGTACCCGACCTTGCCCAGAGGATGCAGCAGGTCCGTGAGCCAGCCCCTCGTGCACCAGAGCCACCCCAACAACCTCGCAATCGGTTTACCAATGGCCCATTGCCCAAATTCAAACCAGATCAAAGAGCCGATCGCCGGGACCGGGACCGTGGACGAAATCGGGATCGAGACCGCAGAGACTTCAGGGAGCCACGAGAGTTCCGTGATCCACGGGATCGAAGGGATGATCGCCGGTTCGACCAACGTCGTGATCGACGACAAGGAGAGCGGCCCCCAGACAGGCCCTTGGACTGGCAAGATCGCCGCCGTGACCCTTCTCCAGAACCGCCTAGAGAGGCACCACCACCAAAGCAGAAGCGGATTCTTATTCGCCCCAAACCGCGCCCCACGCTTCCTGAGGAGTTTGCTAATGCCGAATCTGTGTACTACCGAAAGCCGGGCAATGAGTCTGTCATCGGCGCTGGAACGTATGGAAAAGTGTTCAAAGGAATCCACGTCTATACCCAGCGTAAAGTCGCTCTCAAGAAGATCCGAATGGAGGGTGAGAAGGACGGCTTCCCCGTCACGGCTGTCCGAGAGATCAAGCTGCTTCAGCATCTCCGGAACCACAATGTCGTCAGCCTCCTGGAGGTCATGGTTGAAAAAAACGAATGTTTTATGGTCTTTGAATACCTCTCTCACGATCTAACCGGTCTGATCAATCATCCCACTTTCTCTCTCACTCTCTCACACAAGAAGGATTTGGCGAAGCAAATGTTCGAAGGTCTCAATTACCTTCATCATCGCGGAGTTTTACATCGTGACATCAAAGCAGCCAACATATTGATCAGCAATCGTGGATTGTTAAAGTTTGCCGACTTTGGCCTGGCCCGATTCTTCTCCAAAAGTCGGCAACTTGACTACACCAACCGAGTCATCACCATCTGGTACCGACCCCCAGAACTCCTCTTGGGTGAAACCCGATATGGCCCCGCTGTGGACGTATGGAGCGCTGCATGCGTTTGCATGGAGATGTTCACCAAAAAGGCAGTTTTCCCTGGTGAAGGTGGCGAATTGAGTCAGATGGATAAGATCTATAATGCTTTGGGTACTCCTACCAAAACTGAGTGGCCTGACCTTGTGGAGATGCCCTGGTTCCACCTGATGCGGCCAACGGAACGGAGAAAACGCATTTTCGAGGACGTATATCGTGATGTGTTGACAACCGGTGCGATGGATCTTATCTCCTCGATCTTCCGCTATGACCCTTCACAGCGGCCGAGTGCTGAAGATGTTCTTAAACATCCATACTTTGTATCGGAGGAACCTGCTCCTCGCCCGCCGATTGAGTACGTCTCCCACGCTCCCTTATGTATACTATCCCCACTAACCTTAATTTACAGATTGGAGCACGTCGAAGGGGACTGGCACGAGTTTGAATCCAAGGCGCTCCGCAAGGAAGCTCGACGCGTCGAGTACCAGAATCAAAAGGACCGTGACAAGCGCAAGGCCGACGCATCGGTGCCGAGCAGCGATCGGGATACCAAGCGAACCAAGCCAGATTCAAGTGATCGTGTCTCTACCCAGTGATGACTCTTGATTGGCAAATTATTTTATTATTATTTTTTTGGCTGTTTTATTGCATCGGACATGGTTGGTGGAATGGTTTGCATTTACTCTTCACGAGATTCACTACCCTAGGTCTTCGGGGTTCTTCCGGGTTTGTCTTTTTTTTGTCACATATTGCCCATTGATCAAGGAAAATTTAGATCAACGTTATTATTGTACGTTATTATTGTACGGTGAGAAGTATAAGGAACTGATGTATATTGATGTAGTAGTTCAGCATCCAAGGGATTGATGTTAGGATATCACTTAGGTAAGCTCTACATACATCCAGTCAGTCCATTGGTCGATGAAAGAGACCAAACTATAGCATATTCAAAACATATTTCAAAGCTCAGACTTTGCCTGTTGACCGCATGCTCATCCAGCCCGTGAGCCCGAAGGCCAAAGTAGTAGGGCGGTTGAGACCTCGGATTACCAGAGAGCTCAAAAGAGTTTCTTCACTGCATTGAAATATAGGATTGGATATTGGAAATTGGAAATGAATTGCTATTGAATAGACGTACCTAGAGTACCCTATACTACATGAACACATAAACAAAGAAACAAAGAAAAATATGCATGGATGTGCCGTCAATCAGGTCATCAACGTTTCATGGGTTGCTCGTAAGCCCTCGTGATGATGGTTTTAGATGCGATCAATTTAATCTCGACACACACATCGGAAACGCCAGTGATGTAAAAAAGAACAAGTCGCCAGCGTTGATTTGAGTTTGGTGGTCTTGATATAAAAAGAAGAAGAAGAAGAAAAAGAAAAGCGAAAGAAAAAAACGAAAGAAAAAGGGAAAACTGGAAAAAAGACGGTGCGGGCTGCAGGCGAAAATGGGGCTACCACGACGGTGATTGGTCAGGACAGCTGCTCCTCCAAACTGCAGTCGAGTCTCCGATTCATATCGACACTTTTCCCCTTCACCTGATTCCCCCTCTATACATTTGTTTCTCTATTTCTCTATTTCCTTTTTAAACAGCATTTACCAATATCCTCCTTATTACCCTCGTTCTACCTCACTTTCTTTCCCTCGATTCCACCCCCCCGAATCTCTTATTCTTCAGAATTTCCCATCTGCCACTATACTACGTCACTGAGATAATAGCGCCGGCGTCTCATATCTCTGTGTAACGCTTCTTACGGATCCTTTTCTTTCCCCCTGATGACCGCTCGTGTCTCGGGCAGTCTTCTCACCCGCCGCGATGGATAATGCAAACCTGTGGACCCGCCGGACAAAGTTAGTCGTGTGCCCCTCCTCACCCAGGTGACCATTGTAACTTATATTGGTCGTTTTTTTCTCCTTCTATTAGCTCGTCCAAGTTGTCCCTGTCTACGTCGGGAGCGGACCCGAAAGACAGTGCCCGTGTCGAACTGCCCCGCCCATCCAAGCGGTTCGGACCCGACAGCTCGCATGGCCGCTCGAATCCATTTAACGCAATATCTCCATTATCCGGCGGCGTTTCCTCGCCATCCACCAATGCCTCCTCCGCTTTCGGCCTGGGGTCCGGCGCATTCGCCTCGTTCGGTGCGCCGAAGACTCCCGGTGGCTCCGAGTTGAAAACACCTGGACGGGAGGTACCTTTGGAACACGATGAGGCTACCCGCAAGGCCTTTGAGAACCACTCCGTCGCTGCTCCTGGTGAGCACCCCTTGAAGTCTACGTGGATCGTCTGGTACCGCCCCCCGACACCCAAATATTCCGACTATGAAAAATCCACCGTGCCGCTCGCTTCGATATCCTCGGTAGAGAGCTTCTGGGCGGTGTACTCTCATCTTAAACGGCCTTCTCTTCTTCCCACTGTTTCCGACTACCATATCTTCAAGAAGGGGATTCGCCCCGTCTGGGAAGATGAGGCGAACAAGCGGGGAGGTAAGTGGATCGTACGTTTCAAGAAGGGGGTTTCCGATCGATACTGGGAGGATCTCCTCTTGGCTATGGTTGGGGACCAGTTTGCGGAAGCCGGAGACGAAGTCTGCGGTGCTGTGCTGAGTGTCCGAGGCGGCGAGGATGTTTTGAGTGTTTGGACAAGGATTGATGGGGGGCGCAACATCAAGATCAGGTATGTATAAAACTTGCTTTATTTCACCGCCGTGTATATCTAACTTTGGTTCCAGAGAAACGATCAAGCGCCTGCTTTCTTTCCCGGCAGACACCAACATCATCTGGAAGAGCCACGACGACAGTATTGCACAGCGTTCTGCTATTGACCAGGCTCGCCACGACAAGACTAGCACTGGCACCGGTCATCAAGAACGGCGGCGCACAGGCCAAGATGACTCGGACAAAGCCAAGCCGGCCGTGGCCCTATGAACGGATCCATGATCCCAGCCTGGCCTTGGGCCCTGTATAGTAAACCCGAAAAAAAAAACTTCAATCACGAATCATTGGTACGCGTTTGGGTCTTAGGGGCGGTGGGGCATCGAGGCGAACTAAGCGGTTTGATTTGATTTACGTCTTGAGTGAACTCATCTGTGTCATGTGTTTCTTTTTTTTTTGTGTCTGCCGAGCTCATGCGTGATGTTTTCTCTTTATGTACGCAACATGAATGCAGCACCAGCTGCTATTGGTTTTCTCGCTTGGGAGTATTGGCTATCTGGTTTGTTCTTATGTGAAGTAAGGCCCTTTGACTTGGACTTAGTCTGTTCAACGTTAGGGCTCTGTCTGATATTCTAACTAGAACTATGTAAACACGAGGCACCCAAAACAAAAGGTATTAGTGAACGGCCCCGGGGATATGGATACTACCCTATGTGCAAGCCGGAAACCCTGATTAGGATGTAGGGTTGTATTATTCAGACCATTGGGGTATTGAGGTATTGTTGTGAATAGCGTTAATAACGCAAAAGGTACCAGTATGAACAAAATGAATTATTCAAGCAATGCAACCAACATGTTACATGCAGTCATGTAGTCATCTACTCATATTCCAAGATATCAAACAATGAAAGTATGTTGGGTGACTGATTTATCAGGCGCTAACAAATTCTGACCGCCCCAGGGCCCAGATGACGATGCGGCGTACTTGCGTCCCATGAATGAGGAAGAAAAAAAAAAGACAATAGACAAATAATCAATTGGAGTGGGATCTATGCCATGCATATTGTCATGACCCTGTGGCTGCCTTCATGCCTGTGTTTAAAAACTTAGTCGACCTCTTCTCTAACTTGTCACCGCGACGCCAACGCGAGACCGAAGATCGACGATCTGCTGTTGAACGGGCTCGACCACCGCCCTCGACCCCTCCTCGCTCTCGACCAGCTGGATCTAGTCGCAATCCTTTTGCCCTGCTATCTGACGAAATCAACCTGACCGAACGCACCTCTCCCCAAAACGCTGGGATCGCTCCTCTTCCAACGGTGTGTATCTCGTATCTGCATGCGCGTCCCGCCGATATTTGCTCTTTGGCCGTCCATATTGCTTTTTGATAACTCAACCCTGCACAATCATCTCGCCTTGGACGCTTATCTCTCAGCTACGCCTCTTTTCTTGTTGCAAGCTATCCTCAAATGTTCGATTTGGGACTAATTGATCGTATTAGGCTGTTCACAGTTATGTCGATACCTTTTCGTCCCCAACTGGATCTACAACCGCAGACGAACCTTTGCGCCCACGTTTCCCCCACCCTTTTCTAAGTCCCATTACCCGGTTAGACATGTCCCATCGGAACCCACAACGTTTCCCTGCAGGCAGGCAAAAGCTGATACCCCCACCCATTTCCAGGCAGGGTGATTCGTCGCAGATGTTGAACAAAGACCAGCAGAAGGATTCCCAGAATCGGCAAGATGAGGCTCGTTTGCTCGGAGCTAGATATCCGTATGTTCTACAAGCGTGTTTTGAGTTGTTCGAGATATCGTTGCTGACCAGCTTGCTTTTTTTTGCTTGATAGTGACTCGAACGCTGTCAAGATAAAGCCCGGAGCATTTCATTCTAGGAACAAGAAGCCAGGGGTAAATACCAGCCTTCACATTCATGACTATGACATCCCATCTGATCCTCGGTTACAGGCCAACTTCGCGTTCTCCCCCGCGAACAAACTTTCACAAAATGCCCGAAGCAGCGGGCCAGTCCGTTCTTCCGGAGGATCAAATCAACAACCTCCACGGAGAAAGTCGCACCACTTTGAGGAAGAGTTTGAAGAGTCGAGTCGGCCTACCAAGATCCGGCGCCAGAGTGAAACCAGTGAAACCATCGACCTTACGGCCCCGGCAAATCCAGCCATAGGTCAGTTGGAGCAGGGACCCACACCTTTTGTCTCCCACCAAAACGCAGCTCGTCGCAACCGACATGAAGATCCCAGGGATGCGGAGCATGGCGTCAAAGTAGCGCAAAGCCCTATTCGTCCTCAACATGCCCAATTCTCTTCTGCTGACTCTCGGGATGAAAGGTTTACTGAGACAGCAGCGCAGCAACGGCGGGATCAGGCGAGATCTAAAGCTCCCCGGCTGTATCAGCCTAATGGCAAAGCAAACCAGACTTCTGAAGCCATTGTTATTGGGAGCATTGAGACTGGACCGAAGAGAACTGGTCGCAATCGCACTGCAGTTCCGTCGACGAGCATCCATCGTCCTGCCAACGGCAGGGAAAGTCCAGATGAGCTTCAAGGCGACATCACCACCCATCAAGTACCGAGATCCTTCTCAGGAACACAATCCCAAACCACTCGCCCATCCAACCCAGGAATGGACACAGAATCACCGACTCGAAAGCGCTCCCCGTCCGATGCCCAAACTCCAGACCTTGCGCCGCCATCACCAGCTACAAAAAAGCCCAAGATCTCTCAAAAGGGCTCTGATAAGAAACACATATTGCGATACTTCCGAACCGGCTCCTTCGGCAAATCTTGCGATAAGATGGAATACGTCCCAATCTATTCAAACAAGGAAGGTCTTGAACTCCGTGAGGATGTACTCGGCCAGGGTAACACAATATCAATACCCTTCCACCAAATTCGCCAGATCTTCACCGGTGAGCCGCCCAGCCGGAAAGTGAGAATCAGAATGTTGCAAAATTCTGTCCAAGCAGACGACCAGCTTGACGTGGAGTTTTGGACCACCGAGGAGAAGCTCAAGTTACTGGAAGTGCTGAATCAAGCCAATGACAAGGTCCAGCGTCCTCTCAAGGAGATGTAGGTTTCGTTAACTATCTTTGAGATGAGTTCGCAGTTTACTAACATTGGAACAGGAAATGGATGGACAAGGCGTTTTTGAAATACGAAAAGCAATTCCCACTGGAGAACCAGCTGCCTAAGAAGCGGATTCTTGATGACTTGGTAGAAGATCCTGATCCTGCGCACTCTCCCCCTCCCTCGCGACGACCCAAACTTTCAAAATCCTTGAGAGATGACCAAGGTGAAGTCAACAATGTTAAATTGCGTGAGATCAAACGCACTGCCCAAGAAAAGGGAAAATATGGAAACGGCATTGCCGATTGTCGGACGTCTACTAAAAAGCAAGATGATTCAAGACCTCTTGATACCGATACTGCGGTTGATGTTCGATCTACCGCCAACCCACTGGAACGCGAAACCCGCTATTCTACCCGCCGTGTCACTAATAAACCCGACTTGTCGAATGGAGACAATACATCTGAAGCACACTCGGACTCACTTCTCAGGGATGATTCTTTCCGCCGCAAATGGAAGAAACCGCTGGTGTATCCGCGAAATGGAAAGAAGAAGGCCGAGGTCACACTTGGCGATCGTGAACGATTACTTCGGGACGATTTTCTGAACGATAACCTGATCGCCCTCTACATGCGTTTCCTTCAGGACCATCTCGAACGCACCAACAAAGAGGCTGCCAAGCGAATCTACTTCTTCAACACCTACTTATTTGCGACTCTCACGAACACCCCACGGGGAGACCGTGGGATCAACTACAGTGGTGTGGAGAAGTGGACTCGGAACGTCGATCTTTTCAGTTATGATTATATCGTCGTTCCTATCAACGAGAATGCGCATTGGTATGTTGCAATCATTTGCAACTTGCCAAGTTTGTCTCTTGGTTTTGCCGACGGCGCCGTAGAGCCGGTTCAAACACCGACTCTACAGAAAGAATCATCCAATGCGTCTGAGAGTGAGATCCAGGAAATTGAAGAGACACCTGAGCCGGAACCAAAGTTAAAGTCAGAGCCCAATGCTTCTGACAAGGCTAGTCAACCCTGTGAAATTCGAAAGGGATCCGAGACCAGGAAAGACCTTGCTTCCCTGCAGATTGAGAAAAATGAGCATGCGATCAAGAATCCAAAGCAGTCCGTACCCGACGATACCCCACTTCCAGCCCCAAATCTCTCCAAATTCGCCGCCCAAAAGCTCGCCCAAGAGCAGGCCGCGGCGTCTCAACCGACAAACAAGTCCAAGAAGAAGAGGACTGGGCTGAAGTTGGATCCCAACCAAACAACGATCATCACATTTGACTCCCTCGACATGCCTCGCTCCCCCACCATCAAAATCCTACGCGAGTACATCTGCCGCGAAGCGGTGTCTAAACGCAACGTGGAACTGGACCCGACCGATGTCAAGGGAATGCGAGCTCGCGATATCCCCCTTCAGCCCAATTTCTGGGACTGTGGTCTTTATCTGCTGGCATACTTGGAGAAGTTTGTTCAAAGCCCTGATTGGTTCATCACGAAGGTTCTACAGCGGAGTATGAATTCTAACGATGACTGGCCTCCACTAGGCTCTGGTCTCTTGCGATACCGTCTTGGCAAGTTCCTGGACGAGCTATACGAGGAACAGCGGCAAGCCGATGAGCCTGTGATGGCAGCCAGACAGCCCGTTTCATTCCTGCTTGGCCCTCCCCTTCCTTGTCAGGAGGAACTTCCCGATGTCGACGTGGTACCTGAGTCCCAGCATGAGACAGATCCTTCAGAAGACCCTTCAAAGACTTCCAATTCAAAGATCGAAGACTCAAGTGAAGATTCAACCGCGGACCAGATGCATCTCTTACCTACCGCAGAACTCCTGAAACCACCCAAAGCATCCCCCGACTCACCTGCAGACACAAAGTCGCAACCTCACCATATTGCTCCACCAAGGGAGGAACCCATCATCCAAGTACCCGGTAGCCAGGAAGAGCCCGAAGAGCCAGGCACACCGACCCCTACAAGAAAAGAACGAAGGAAACAAAGCCCACGAGGCCCTTCGCGAAAGAGATGAGTCTGTTCATCCAAGTGATACAACACTACTGTCTAAGATAATCAATAATCTCGACATGCAAGCCCAGTACCGGCTGGACCGGAACTGACCATCTTCTTCGTGGTACAAATATGTTCACTGTTATTTTAGCGTTTTAATCCGTGTGTGTCACGGCATGCCCAGCGCATAGCCCTGGGTCGGCGTTCGATGATAGAAGGATGGTGTTTTTACTTTGTGCCTTTACTATCATAGCATCAGATACCATCGTCCGCATCGCAATGCGAAATCAATCCTTTTTTCTAACAAAGTATCTAATCTAACAATAACTACATATATCTAGACACAGGAACAAGCTACCATTCACTCTCATTCGTTCCAACCCCAACCCACCACGACATCTTATCCCTCTTAAACGACTCAAAATCCCACTCCGCATCCTCCAGCATATCCTTCCCAGCTGTATATACATAAGTCACAGCAGAAACCTCCTCTCCCTCTTCCTTACCAGCAACCTCAGCACCCGTCGCATTAAGCATTTCGCGCAGCTGGCTCTCAGCAGTAGCCCCCTCACCAGCATGACCAAGATCACCGCCCCGCCCTTCCCGCAGCGTGCGCACAGTAACCGGTTTCTTCTCGTACTCAGAGCCCTCGAACCTATCCAGTCGGTGAACATCGCCGTCTGTTAGTCCCGACACGAGGGTTCCCACAACTGATGTCCCACCGTTGGTTTTCGGTGCGGAATCCTCCGTGTCGACTTTTGGCTTTGAGACGGCCACGATTCCTGGGTAATCGGCGTCCTGCACGCGATGTCGGCGATACCCGTGCAGAATGGCGGGTTGGAAGCGGAGCGTGGCTTTTTGCCAGGGTTCCGGGTTCGCCTGGCCGTGGATTACTTTGTGCAGGATTTGCGGGGCCATTAATGTTCCTGGATAGGTCTTAGCTTTTGACTTGGATTGGGTTAAGAGGGACTTACCGTAGAAGAAGAGGACGTGGTCGCCCATTGTGTTTGGTGTGGGGTTAAAGTGTGGGTGGGTTGTTTGGTTGACTGTGTGAGAGTGGAGCGAAGGTCCGAGAGAATGGATTTAATGGATTTGAGGTAGAGTATATATAGATATGTAAGTCCAGCAAAAGCTTATGATATAAAGATAGTCAAAAGAAGAGATAAGCACGAAGCCATGGAGTTGTCATAATGCGGAGATGATAGCCCTGGTCTATAGATCCCGCTTATCGATAAGGCCCAAACATCCAAACAGGTCCAGCTGGCTTCATCTTCTCAATTCGACCCCAAAACACACCATGCATTCCTCCTTGAACCGCATCCAGTCCGTATTCGGCTTCTTTACTACAGTCGCGCTGGTCGTCAGCGCACTGGCAGCCGTTTCGGTCCTCTTCTTCCCAGCAGACCAGACCAATGCCTCAGTGCAGCTGAAGAACGTGCAGGTGTAAGTTGAAATCGCGATTTCTATTCTCCCTCCAATCCCATACCCCCAAGACTTAAAAAGAAAAAGAAGGGTAGACCAAATTTACTAAAATCCTTTCTCCGTATAACAGCGTCAAAGGCCGACCACACTACTACTCAACCAAACGCGAAGAATACGCCCAGCTCCGCTTCGACCTTGACGCCGATCTGAGCCCTCTCTTCAACTGGAACACAAAACAGCTCTTCGTCTACGTTTACGCTACCTACTCCTCCTCCGATAAGCCCGGCTCACAAGTCCGTGCCTCGGAGTCTATCATCTGGGACACTATCATCCCCGCGGCCCCGTCGCCGTATTCATGGGATATCCTCAAAGACCAGGTCCTCGCGCTCCTTCCCGCGACCGTTACTTCTGAGGCTGTGGCTGCTGCGAAGAGGAACGCGAAGCGTCATGCTAAGTCGGCTAAGGCGGCGAAGAGCAAGAAGGAAGCTCTTGCGCCCGGTGTTCTGAGACTGCGTGGCCAGAAGGGGAAGTACCAGATCAGTGATATTACTGGTCGTCTGGCGGAACGTCAGAATGTTACCCTTCATGTTGGATGGAATGTTCAGCCTTGGGTTGGGGCTTTGTTGTGGGCGCCTGGTACCGGTGCTGCGCCCAGGACCGGTGGGACTATTGTTAGCAGTGAGCCGTTTGATTTCCCCGAGGTGAAGGATAATAAGAAAGCCGCCGCGGAGAAGAGGGCTAAGGAGGCGGAGAAGGCGGAGAAGAAGGCGAGTGTATAGGCTTTTGTTTGGGTCTGTTGAGATAGGAGTTGGGATGTACCCGTTTTTTTATTTACTTTTGGGAGCTTCTAACAATGCTCATCTCCTACAGTTGCATTTTGAAAATGATAAATATGAAACGCATCGTCATTGGAGAAAGGAAAGCCATCCTTCTCATTTTATTTATTGTTTCAAAGGGGTCCAATTACACCCGAAAGAAAAACAGGAATCGACGCTATGGATACAGCAGAGGTAGAGACTTGAGACTTGCTTAGGTTCAAAGTCACAGAGAATGCCGACCGTCGACAGACGTGGTCAAGCATGTTGAACAAAGGAGTTCGGAGGTATCGAAAGAAAATCACACGGTACCGTAGTTAAGGTCCGGAGGTGTATGACGGTGGCCTCCATTTTGTATGCGATCGGAGTAGACGCCCGGTGCGGGCCGTTGAGAGGCACGAGTCAGTGGATCACGATTGCGACGATCATAATAGACGTATTCCAGATAGAAGGCATGGATGTGTCCGGGGAAGTAGCTGGGAGATATCGCTGGTTAGTTTTTGAATATGACGGAAGTATGGATGGCTAGTATAACACTCACCCAAGAATTGTGAGCAGGACGTTGATCCAAAAGTCAACTCCACAGCCTGCAATCATAAAGACACCAAGAGGAGGAACTGTTTGGTTTGTTAGCGAATCATTCCAGTGGGGATAGCTTGGTAGATTGAGGGGCGATCTGGGGATCACTAGGTGGGGTGGGGATTTTTGTGGGTAGTTTTCTTCAGGAAGCAGAGTGTATACTTACTGAATATGGTGATAAGGATCAAACAAAGCATCGAGCAAGTGCCGGCCATGATTGTGGTGTTTGATGTTTGCGGTGTTATTGTTCAGGTTTGGTAGATCGAGGTTTGAAATCGGTGGCCAGAAAAGAGAGGAGGAGAATTGCAAAGAGGAGGATGAAGATATAAATAGGAATGTTGTCATCCACTGGGGAGCTAATGCGTTTCATCTTGATCTTGGCCACGACGTCACGACTGGAACTAAAAGGGCACTGGTAGGGCTGAGGCAGCCGTGAAGCTGATTTGCTCGGGGAACGGACCATGACGTCATCCCGAACGGGCAACGCCACATGCCACAGTTGAAAAATGTGGCTGGTGTTCTGTGTACATGGACGGGTACAATTGACGGGCAGGTACATTGGACGGACTTGAAAGAGATGTAGAGGTACTGGGAATACATTTCTTGTAGTATTCCCAGTATCAAGTTCTTACACCGCATCAATCGCCGCCCGAGTAGTAACCTGCTCGTTCTTATTGCCAAGCTTCGAGATCTGCAGGAATGCGTCCACTCCATACCCTTCCAGGCTGTGCAGTTCTAAACTGCCTGCCCAATATTCAGCATAGACTCGGCTCATAGGGAGGCCCATGCCCAGACGGAGATTGGGCGGTCGTGATGTCAATGTGTCCAGGGATCCCTCATGGTATGATTCCCGGTCAGTGTGTTTGCGGTCGTGTGACACTTGCAGTTCTTGCATCGTCGCTGCCATCGCAGGAACCTGTCCAAGATTTTCCAGTCGGGATTGCGTGCGAGGGCCCTTGCTAAAGGACCACAGGTATGGCAGAATCTCTCGAGGGATACCTCCTCCTTGATCAGATATGCGCATTATCACATGCTGCGGGGTCTCGCACACGAGCACTTCGATGGGTGGTGGGGGTTGGGTTGAATCCTGGTATTTCTCCATCACAGCTTGCACTGAGTTGCGGAGAAGTTCTCCGATGATATATTCCAAGTGACTCAAGATATACGGGAAGGTCGCGTCGGCATGGCCCTTGACGGTGATCGCGGGGATCTGGGTCGACCCTGATATCTTCCGCATTAGATCTTGTGCGAATTTCCCACATCGCTCGACTACCTCCTTCGCCTTGCACTTTAGGAACACTTCGCCCACAAAGTCTGCATTCATGTCAGTTCGGTCGTGGGAGTCAGGGAAATGCCATGGCGAGTTGAAGGTTTCGGTCAGAGCTAGGTGTTGCTCTGCGATGACTCGACGAGAGATTCGCTGCCGAGGAGATATTTGTCAGCTAGGAGTTAGACCAAAGGTCAGCCTTACATACCGCTCGCAAAAGTGTGTTCATTAACCGGTCCATTTCGTCCGCTGGAGCGAGATTGCGGCATTCCAGCACTCCCATTGCCAGGTTGGGAATCGCAATCAGATGCTCTCGTAGCATTTCCTTCAGGATTTCACAGAAACGGTCATTGTCCTCAAGGGTCCGGATCTCAGGAACAACCCGAGCCCGCTCAAATGCTTTGTAGTACAGTTCGTATACAAGGGTGAGATGGGGGTTGGCAACCACCACATATGGTAGCTGTTGGATGTCGCGTAGACGATGCGCAAGGCTATTCAATGGCGATGATTAGATTTTTTTTTTTTTTTGCTTTTTCCCCTAGTTTTGCAGATTATCTCCCAACTTACCGAGTAGGTAGCTCAGTCCGCACGTAGTTTGCAGAACTGATGAGTCGTGGTTCTGTCAAGGTACGACCAAAGAAGGTCAACTGACGAAGACTTATAGGTCGAATAGCGCGTTCTACCCATCTGCCAGTACATCCCAGTCAATATCGCCATTTTAAGCTTTAGGAACGTGAGTCATCCATACTCATCTACTGCAGAAACTGGCCGCCATGGTGGCGGGTTGTGAGCTCCAGAATAGAAGCGCTTCGAGGGATATTGGAGGAGCTGCCAGCCTCGAGCTGGATAAGACAGCCTCATTGTGCTCCATGCACTCATTCAATAAGTACCGAGACCATATAAGTGCTCACTATCTTGTGCGCGCGTGTAGTTGGGACTTCAAGAGTTTGGGGTTGCCGGGCGGTGAGCCAAGCATGTGACACCAACACAGAGCTTGTTATGCTTATGGCAGGTTTTGTTTTGTTGTCTATAGCCATTTATATCCCGAGGTCTCTATATATATACATGGTTCAAAGACTGCAACTGTCAATGTCATACGATTTGGATTCTCATCCGAAGTTGCCTCGGATCTGAGGTAACTCGCACGGACTTGGGGCTAACACATCAGCTCGTGGACCTTTTGGATCATCTGAGGGTCACTTGGGGAAATATGAAGATTGAGAGCAGTCAAATAGACACACATATTAATTAGCTTGCATATGTAACTAAAGCATCCATGGACATCTATCTAACTATCTAATTATCTATATCAACAACAAATCAGACTCGTATAAAATAGGGCTTTCTTCACCGTATACTCCGCACCTAGGTACTCCTGCATATATTATTGCGCACTGCCAATTAAGAAAACTCCTAATTTCAATTCTAAGAGACGGAGAGAAGTCAGAGCTCAATAAAAAGCTATATTAACTCAAAGAATAAGCATTTAATCAAAGACAGATCTCACCAACATCCAACAATATCACTGCCGAGCCCTCGAGGCTCCGCCACCGCTAGCTCCGGCCCTTATTATTTTGCGGGTTCAGACGAATTTCCTCCACCACCAGCCCTACAGTGTATTTGTTTCCAACATTCTGTCTTTTTATTCACAAAACTTTCTCTAAAATACAAAACTCTGACGCCTTCCGGGACGGGAAGGCGCTTTCCGCGATGGAAAACGTGAGAGATCCCCCGACCGTGCCCCTCGCTAGTGTCGTCATTGGACCTAACCCTGTTCTACCAGCTCGCGGAGAACGACATGCTTGTCGATGACTATGATCAATACCCTGCCGAAAAGACCGATGTCGTCGTCGTTTCCCGGTCGGGATCCGACGAGCCTGAGTCCGCCCCGACCGCAGATGACCGTATGTTCTTTGTTGCTCCTCTTTCCCCAGACCACAAACAGCAGAGCCGTTTGGCAAGTTACCTGGACAAAGCATGGGACCTGAATGAGATCGTCCTCGAGAAATGCACTTCCTGTTTGCTTGTTTGCACTGAGTATTCGCTAACCAAGAGCCCCGATGGATATAGACGCGGCGATGATGGCAAAGGTCCTCCCCCAGAACTCGGACCTCGAAACCCTAGAAGAGGTCCACAACACATGGCGCTTGTCAGATTGGCGGAAGATGGAGCGCAAGTCACACGGACCTGTCTTCCGATGCGGTGACTCCCCGTGGTGGGTGCCTGAAATCTCTTTGCCTGGATTTGGCTCTATGGCTATGTGCTGGCATTGAATCTAACTCGAGAATAGGCGCATTCTCTTCTTCCCCTACGGCAACCAGACCGAGTTTGCCTCGTTTTACCTCGAACATGCGTGGGAGGGTGGACCCCCGGAGAACTGGTACGCTTGTGTGCAGTTCGCCCTGGTGCTGTCAAATGTGAACGATCCTTCCATTTATACACACCACGGTAAGATATTCGAGTCTCGAGGGATTGCTAGACTAGAATGCTAAGTTAGATTTTAGTTGCAACCCACCGTTTCACCGCCGAGGAAGGGGACTGGGGTTTCACTCGATTCGCCGACCTCAAAGGTCTGTTCAGCCATGCGTGGGAGGGAAAATCCGTTCCGTTGGTGCAGGACGATGAGGCAATTGTCACGGCCTATGTTCGTGTGGTGAAAGATCCCACAGGTGTCTTGTGGCACAGTTTCCAAAAGTGTGTTCTTTCCGGGATGTTTGCCCGAGCGAAGCTAACTTCCTCTTTTTTTTTTTAGTTACGACTCGAAGAAGGAGACTGGAATGGTAGGATTGAGGAACCAGGGAGCTACATGCTACTTGAACTCACTGTTGCAGTCGCTTTATTTCACAAATGCTTTCCGCAAGGTACGAACAACAAATTCGATTACTCCCCTATTGAAACTAATAAAAATCTTTAGGCCGTATACCAAATACCGACTGATCAGGAAGCTTCCCGTGAGAACAGCGCGTGGGCCCTCCAGAGACTGTTTTACAATCTGCAGACCAACGATGTGGCTGTTTCCACAACTGAGCTTACCGCGTCTTTTGGCTGGCAATCCAGCCAGATCTTTGAACAGCAAGATGTACAGGAGCTCTCACGAAAGCTCATGGAACGATTGGAGCACAAGATGAAAGGTACCGTTGCAGAAAAAGTTCTACCTGATCTGTTTGTCGGAAAAACAAAAACGTATATTTCTTGCATCAATGTCGATTACGAGTCTTCCCGTGTGGAGGACTTCTGGGATATTCAACTCAATGTTCGAGGCAACAAGACTTTAGACGACAGCTTCAGGGATTACATTCAGGTTGAGACGCTAGAGGGGGAGAACAAGTACGAAGCTGGGCAGCCATACGGTCTGCAAGACGCCAAGAAGGGCGTTATCTTCGAGAGCTTCCCTCCCGTTCTACATCTTCACCTCAAACGTTTCGAGTATGACCTCAACCTCGACATGATGGCCAAGGTCAATGATTATCACACATTCCCCATGGAGTTCGATGCGGCTCCATATCTTTCGGAGAGCGCCGACAAGTCGGAGTCCTGGGTTTACCAATTGCATGGTGTTCTCGTCCACAGCGGTAACCTCGATGCTGGGCATTACTATGCCTTCCTCAAGCCCACCAAGGATGGACACTGGTATCGCTTTGACGATGACCGAGTCAACCGAGCTACCGACAAAGAAGTCCTGGACGAGAACTACGGAGACTCCCAGCAGCGCACGAACGGAACGACTGGAGGACGATCCGCTATCCGCACAAACAACGCCTACATGTTGGTTTACATCCGGAAAACGAGACAGGATAATGTATTATTACCGGTCACAAAGGATGATGTGCCCTCTCACATTGGTATGTCGAGAGATTCCCATTCTTTGGAAAATTGACTGGTTGGCTAATTATGGAACAGAGCAGCGTATGTCCGAGGACCGGGTGGAGATGTTGCGTCGGAAGAAAGAGAGAGAAGAAGCCCACCTTTACATGAATGTCGGCGTCCTCAATGAGGATGCATTCCAAAACCATCACGGCTTCGATCTGAGTAGCAATGACCTTCCAGCGGATGACCCGGCCCTTCCTACGCCATACAAGATCCTTCGGGCAAAGAAAGTCAAGGAATTTGCTCAGGAAATCGCCGAAGAGCGAGATCTCAAACCAGAAGCCATTCGATTCTGGGTCATGGTCAATCGTCAGAACAAGACAACCCGACCCGATCAGGTGATCAGCGATCCGGAGATGACTGTTGAGGAGGCATACAACAAATACGGCACTAAAGGCCAGCCCTTGCGCTTATGGATGGAGGTGGCACCGACCGGCGCCGACGGAAAACCTACTTCGTGGCCCGATAATGACTCGATTCTCATTTTCCTGAAGAACTTCGACATTACAGCCCAGACCTTGACTGGTGTTTGCTCTGTATACGTTCACAAGAGCCAGAAGGTGAGCGAGCTGGCCCCGACAATTCTATCCAAGATGGATTGGCCTGCCGGTACAGAGTTCATGCTGTTTGAAGAAATCAAACATACCATGATCGACGTTATGAAACCTAAGCAGACTTTCCAGCAATCTGAAATTCAGAACGGCGACATCATTACCTTCCAGCGCGCAATCAAGGAGTCCGAACTGCCAGCCTCAGCACTTTACACAGACGCTCGGCAATTCTACGATTACCTTTTGAACCGCATGGAAGTTCAATTCGCACCGATCAAGACCAATGAAGGAGAGACTTTCTACTTGACACTCAGCCGTAAGATGACTTATGACCAGTTCGCCAAGAAGGTTGGTGAGCATCTCAAGGTGGACGAGACTCATCTTCGTTTCGCACCCGTGATGGCTAGTACTGGCAAGGCCAAGCCTTTCCTGAAGCGAAACATCAACCAGAACCTCTCACAAATCCTAAACGGTCAATATGGCGCCTACGGATACACCATGCACCGGGCAGACGCTTTGTACTACGAGATACTGGACATGAGTTTGAGTGACTATGAGAGTAAGAAGTGCTTCAAAGTGACATGGCTCCCTGATGGCGTCACAAAGGAGGTTCGTGTTAAAGACTCCCTATTCATGACGCTGGGATTAGGCTAATATTCAAGTAGGAGATTGTTGAGATCTTGGTTTCCCGCAGCGGCACCGTGGCAGATCTCCTGTCTGCGTTGCAGCAGAAGTTGGAATTGGGCGATGAGCCGATCCGAATTGCTGAAACACACAGTGGAAAGGTCTACAAAGAGCTTCGGGAAGAACAAAACGTGGCTGCCATTAACGAGTACGCCACACTCTACGCCGAAAAGATCCCATCGGAGGAATTGAAGTTGGACGCCGAGGACCGCATCATTAGCGTCTTCAGCTTCGATCGCGAACCCAGCCGTACTCACGGAATTCCTTTCAAGTTTGTTGTGAAACCTGGAGAACTTTTCGCGGAGACAAAGAAACGCCTTTCCGCTCGCACGCAGATCAAGGGCAAGAACTTTGAGAAGATCAAGTTCGCTGTTGTCCCGCGGGCATCCTTCTCTAACGCTAAGTATCTCGAAGATGGTGAGTGCCGTTCCTTCGATCCCTATGGAAGACATCTTCTCAAACTAACTAACCCCTTTCAGGTGATATCTTGTCAGATGTAGCGGCTGGTGCCGACGACTTCCTGGGCCTTGATCACCCCAACAAGAACCGCAGCTTCTGGGGCAAGAGTGATGGATTCTCGATTCGTTAAAGAGGTGTTATAGTCATGGCGCTGGGGGGTTATGAGTTGATGGAGGGCTGTATGCTGCAATCCGGTACATGAGCAGCGACACCCTGATGCGATGATCATGCCTTTCTCTTATTTTTTTCGTATTATTTTATGTAACGAGCCGAAGTAGAAGACAACTCCGTCTATATCATGAGTGCAGACTGTTTATTTTCTCATATGTCGTGCATCTCATCTACAAAATAGACTCGTGGAGTAGTTAGAATTTGATACATACGGTAGTTTGTTTAGATGGATGCAAACAAATCA